CTGAGCTGCATTGGCCAGGCTTATTGATCTTTTGAATTGTTTTTTTTAGTCTGTATGTTGTTTGTTTCTGCTCTGACCTTTACTATTTCTTTCCTTCTACTTGCTCTGAGTGTTCCTTTTTGTTTACTTTCTAGCTCTTTATGTTGTAGGGTTAGAAAGAAAGTCAGTTAGAAATGTTTCTTGTTTCTTGAGGTAGGCCTGTAGTGCTGTGAACTTCCCTTTCAGGACTTCTTTCTCTGCATTCCATAGATTTTGTGTTGTTGTGTGTTCATTTTCATTGGTTTCCAGGAAGTTTTTGATTTCTTCCTTGATCTCCTTGGTAATCCATTCATTGGTTAAAAACCTGCTATTTAGCCTCCATTTGTTGAATGTTTTTGCTGTAATTGATTTCTAGTTTCATGCCATTGTGATCTGAGAAGATGCTTGATATGATTTCAGTCTTCTTGAACTTGTAGAGACTTAGTTTGTGTCCTAACATGTGGTCTCTGAGAATGTCCCATGTGCACTTGAGAAGAATGTGAATTCTGCAGTTTTGGGGTGTAATTCTCTGTAGATATCTACTAAATTCATTTGATCTAGTGCATCATTTAAAGTCTCTGTTTTCTTGTTAATTTTTTGTCTAGAGCAGCGGTTCTCAACCTGTGGGTTGCGACCCCTTTGGGGGTCCATAAGACATAACAGTAGCAAAATTACAGTTATGAAGTAGCAATGAAAATAATTTTATGATTGGGGGTTACCACAACATGAGGAACTGTGTTAAGGGTCACAGCATTAGGAAGGTTGAGAACCACTGGTCTAGAGGATCTATCCAGTGATGTCAGCGGGTGTTGAAGTTCCCTGCTATGATTGTCGATTTCTCCTTTGAAGTCCTCCAGAAGTTTTTAAATATATTTTGGTGCTTCTATATTGGGTGCATATATGTTGACCAAGGTTATATCTTCCTGTTGGATAGATCCTTTCAACACTATGTTGTGGCCTTCTTTATCTCTAGTTATTGCCTTCATTTTTTTTCTATCCTCACTCGAGGACATTTTTTTCCATTTTTTGTTCAGATAGAGTGGGAAGGAGAGAGGAAGAGAGAGAGAGAGAGAGAGAAACATCGACATGAAAGGGACACAATGAGTTGCTGGCGCCCGCATGATCAACCAGGGCCAGGGACAAACTGCAACCGAGGTACGCGCCCCTAACAGGAACTGAACCCAGGTCTCTCTGGACCACAGGCCGATGCTCTAACTGCTGAGCCAAACCTGCCAGGGCATGGCCTTCGTTTTGAAGTCTATTTTATTGGATGTGAGTATTGCTACCCCAGCTTCTTTTTCCTTTTTTTCTACTTGGAAGATTTTTTTCCATCCCTTCACTTTCAACCTATGTGAGTCTTTTATTGTGAGGTGGGTCTTTTGTAAACAACATATATATATATATATGAGTCATGCTTTCTTATCCAGTCAGCTACTCTGTGTCTTTTGAGCAGAGCATTCAGTCTATTTACGTTTAAGGTTATGATTGATATGTACTTATTTTTTATTTTATTTTTGTTACAGATGTTTCTTTTTTTTTTTACCCCATTGACACTGTCTTCCCCATCCCCCCCCCCCTCCCCAGCTTTGTTGTCCATGTCCATTGGTTATGCATACATGCATATAAGTTCTGTGGTTTATCTCTTCCCTTCCCCCACCACCCCCTTTTCGGAGCGTTGTCAGTCTGTACCCTACTTCCATGTTTCTGGGTTTACCCTGTTCCTCATACCGTTATGTTCATTATATTCCAATATTCCAATATTCCAAAGTGAGATCATGTGGTATTTGTCTTTCTGACAAAGTTTTATCCTTGTTTCACTTAGGATAATACTTTCCAGATCCCTCCATGTCGTCTCAAAGGATAAGAGATCTTTCTTTCTTACAGCTGCATAGCACTCCATTGTGTATATGTATCACAGCTTTTTTATCCATTCGTCTACTGATGGACACGGGCTGTTTCCAGATCTTAGCTATTGTAAATAGTGCTGCTATGAACATGGGGATACATATATTCTTTCTGATTGGTGTTTCAGGCTTCTTAGGATATATTCCTAGAAGTGGGATCACTGGATCAAATGGAAGTTCAATTTTTAATTTTTTGAAGTAACACCATATTGTTTTCCATAGTGGCTACACCAGTCTGCATTCCCACCAGCACTGTATTAGAGTCCCCTTTTCTCCACACCCTTGCCAACACTTGTTGATTGATTTGTTGATGGTGGCCATTCTGACAGGTGTGAGGTGATACCTCATTGTTGTTTTAATTTGCATCTCTCTGATGATTAGTGATGTTGAGCATTTTTTCATATGTCTCTTGGGCAGTTGTATATCCTGTTTGAAGAGGTGTCTATTCAGCTCCTCTGCCCATTTTTTAATTGGGTTCTTTGTCTTGCTTTTGTTGAGTTATATGAGTACTCTATATATTTTGGAAATTAACCCCTTATCTGATGTATCATTGGCAATGATGCTCTCCCATACAGTGGGTTGCCTTTTCATTTTGATGGTGGTTTCTTTTGCTGTGCAGAAGCTTTTGAGTTTGATGTAGTCCCATGTGTTCATTTTTCCCTTTGTTTCTGTTGCCTTAGGTGATGTATCAGTGAAAATTCTGCTGCATATGATGTCTGAAATGATGTGTACTTATTTATTGCCATTTTTGTTTATTGTGGTTATATTTTTCTTCCTATATCTTCTAATTACAGCAATATTTTTAACATTTCTTGCAGTGCTGGTTTGGTGCTAATATATTCCCTTAGCCTCTTTTTGTCTGGGAAGCTAATTTTACCTTCTATTTTGAATGATAGCCTTGCTGGTTAGAGTAGTCTTGGATTCAAATTCTTGTTTTTCGTTACCTTGATTACTTTATGCTCTTCCCTTCTGGCCTGTGAGTTAGTGATTTTTAAAAAGTGGTTTTCATTTTCTGTGGTAGTAATACACTACAATGTGGCATTTCTGATGTGATAACATCTTATTTAAATCAGGATTTCATAACCTTGGCACTGTTGATACTTTGGGCTGGATAATTCTTTATTACAGGTGGCTGTCCTGTGAATTGTAGGATGTTTTGCAGGATCCTTAGCCTCTACCTTTTAGATGCCATTAGTACCCCTTTCCCCCAAGTTATGACAACCATTCCATGGATTTTGTAAGCCACAGGATTAAACCATGATGATTTGTCCAACTACTTATACATTATGTTTTGGTGGAAAACATAGCTTCCCATTTTGAGAATGATGCTTGAAAAAATTGCTAGTCAGGAAAGTTTTTGATATATACATATATTTTTCCAGGATATGATTTAAGTAGGAAGTAGGCTCAAAAGGAAAGAAATTTAAGCAGATGTGTAAGTTTGTGTGCGTGTGTGTGTGTGTGTGTGTGTGTGTAGATACAGATTTTTTTTTTTTTCAAATGCTTCTCTGCCTTATTTCAAAACTTTAGAAGCAGCCTGACAGGTGTATATATTTTTGTGTTGCAGAAAAGTACAGATAAAAGTAGAGCAACATGGACTATGTATTTCAGTACTGTGTAAAAACAATGTTGCCTACAATCTTACCACCCATCAATGAAATGTTTCAGTAGTTAAGCATCTTTTTTCGGTGATTGTGTACTTATTCAACTAATATTTATTGAATACCTGCTATGTGCTAGACACTGTTGTAGATTCTGGGAATGCAGCAGTGAACAAAACGGAATAAAAATGTCTTCCGTCTTAGAGCTAAAATTCTAAAGGGCATGGGGAGATAGAGGAAAATAGATGGTAAACCAAATAAGTATGTGAGTATGTTAGATGATAAGTGCTGCAAAACTGGAAAGGATGTTATGTAGAATTTGTCAGTGTTGGCTCTAGTCATCATAATGATAATATGAATTGCTTGCATGTATTTTTTGAGTTGATAATACATGGTTTTCTAAATAATCCTTTTCTGCTAAATGCTTAGGTTAAATTTTTCCACCAGTTATAATAAGGCATAATTGTTTAAAAAATATTAATCTAGGGACTGTTCCATCCAATTATAAAATCAAACTACCTGGTATGTTTGAATGGGGACAGTGGTAATATTACAAAATATAGAATTATTGTTGCCATACAACTATAGCCTTTTCTGATCAGGTTCTGAGACGTGGTTATTTTGCACATATGGCCATTATCATGATCATAGCCTATTATTAATAATTTTTAACTAAGAATTAATTTTTAAATTAATTTTAATACCCTGAAGAAAAATATATTTTAAAACTTAATTTATTTTTACTATTGAAGCAAGAAATTAGGAGGAGCTCTGAGAAAGTATCTCTTCTAAGTGGAGCCCTCACCAGTCGATGGGGTTGGTACAGGCCTAGTTTCTGTTAATGAAAACTTAATGACATGATGAACACAGTGCCTAGCTTCTGCTAGTTGAAAATTCACTTGTATAACAGAAACCAACAGCAGCTTAGAGGAAAAAAACAAATGAGAAGTGGCATTCCTTTTTATTTAGTTCTATTGATATTGCTGAAGTTAATTGTTCATTTTGGGATGTCAAGGGAGAAGAAAGTTGCTCTTACCTTGTTCCTTCCTTGTTTTTTCATTCATTTAAGTGGGAAAGTATGTGTGATATTTTTAGCAAGTTAAATCGCTTCTCTTCTTGACTAGTACTTGACTGGTATTGGCCAGTGTATTTTGACTTGTTGTAGTTGACACTAATTTTGAAATACAGGTACAGTCATGCAAGAGACAATATAATGAGAATTTTTAAAAATTAGAAAATTGAGACCAATGAGTAATAGATGGGGAAAACATCCTCCAGCAATTGAGGGGTTGAATTCCTTCTCCACCCTCTCTTTTCTACTTAATAAGTGAAATGCAAAGCTCTAGGGCCTCTGGTAGAGGAAGTGAAGAGGTTTTGAATTGTACAGTAAAAAGGTGATGTGGGTGGAGTAATGTGAACCTGGCAAAATATCTGAGCTTTTACTTCATTAAAAAAAACCTGTCATTATCTTTTATAGATTATAGTAATGAAGATGAATTTGGAAGAAAGTTGAGGTTCCTCTTGCAACAACTTCCACCTGTTAATTACAGTTTGTTAAAGTTTCTGTGTAGATTTTTAGCCAATGTAGCATCACATCATGAAGAAATTTGGTCTGCAAACTCCTTGGCTGCTGTCTTTGGTCCAGATGTCTTCCAGTAAGTTTTTCATAAATTTTTGTTTAATTAAGAAAATCCTGAAGTTGTGATATAGAATCATTATGCTGTCTCCCAAGGATCATAGATTGCTTGATAAATCATTATTTTTTATAGTAGATCTGATTAATCCTCCTAGCATTTTTTTGAACAGGGTACAAATTAGGTAGGCTTTACAGATGGGAAAACTGAGACACAGAATGATGTTGTAAATTGCTCAAGTTCATAAAGTGACTCATTGGTTTCTCCTAACTTTACCTGTGATTGGTTTAATTTGGACTTTTATTCTTAGCATTTACACTGATGTGGAAGATCTGAAAGAGCAGGAAATAGTGAGCAGGATAATGGCTGGACTTCTGGAAAATTACTATGAGTTTTTTGAAAATGAAGAGGAAGATTTTTCATCTAATGATTTGAGTTCAATTACTGAACAGGTGAGAATATTTTAAATATTCTACTTGAAGGGAGAATTTTAAAAAAGAGAATATGCTCTCAGGGCTTGGCACATACTGATGGAATTTTTAAGTATTAAATTGGAAGACTTCTCTTGGTTATTATATTTAATCATCTTCATCCATGTAATATGTGAATGTGTGTGGTATTTTTTCTGAGGAGGTTTGTGTCCTCAATTTGGGTAATATGGGAAAGTGGGTTTCTTTGTGATGTGTGTGTGTGTTTTCCTTCTGTTAAGTTAAGCATTGTTTATTTTGTAAGAATAGTATTATTTGTTGTTTGTTTATTTTAGCCTTTGCAAAGAAACTGCTAGCATAGAGAAGTATAGGCAAAAGATGAGACGTAGAAGGTAGAGGGATAGATTCAATGCAAAGTTCATGCAATCTCTTAAATGAAGTTCTTGATTAAGGTAACTCAGTATAGCAGTGCAGTCATTGTCATTAATGGGAAACATTAGCAGAAATAGTTTAGGTTGCAGATCATTTTTCAACTCCTGTGACTCTTTACTATTAAAATCTATTTCTCAGGCTGCATTATATTTTGTTGTTACTGCTATGCCTTGGTTGAGACTGTACAAGTATCTTAGTTACTTTCTCCATTATGAAACGAGAATATTGATGCTGAATAATTGTAATTTATTATAAAGCCACATTAATCCAGATTTAGATTTGGATCTTGTTATTCTATGTGAGAATTTTTCTTGTGCACTTCAGTGAAATGATTTGTCAAGCAAACTTTTATTATTTATATTTTGTGTATAGTTTATAGTTTAGGGCTTCTACTTTTAAAAAAATGAATAATATCCACCTGGTTAAAAAAAAAGTAAAATATTTTGCTTTTACTCATACGCACTCCCCTCATTTATTTACTATCATTATTTTTTTAAATCCTCACTTGAAGATATTTTTCCATTGCTTTTCAGATAGAGTGGGAGGGAGAGAGAGAGAGAGAGAGAGAGAGAAACATCGATGTGAGAGAGACACATCAATTGGTTGCCTCCTGCATAATCCGACCAGGGCTGGGGATCAAATCTGGAACTGAGGTACGTGCCCTTGACCGGAATCGAACCCCAAGGCTCTTTGGTCTGCGGGTCCATGCTCTAACTGCTGAGCCAAACTGGCCAGGGCGTCATTTGTTTTTTTATGTGTTTTTCTAGAGCTTGTTTATGCAAATATAAGTAAATATTTTCTTACAGTTTTTTTTTTTTGTGTTGTTGTTGTTTTGTTTTATCCTCACCCGAGGACATTTTTGCATTTATTACAGATAGAGCAGGAGGGAGAGAGGGAGGAAGAGAGAGAAATATCGATATGAGAGAGACACATCAACTGGTTGCCACCCACATGACCCAGACCGGGGCCAGGGACAAACTGCAACTGATACATGCCCTTAGCAGGAACCAAATCCGGTACTCCCTGGTCCACGGGCCGATGCTCTAACCGCTGAGCCAAACCGGCCAGGGCTCTTTATAGTTATTAAATAAATATTCACATAAATATTCACAAAAAATATTCAAATAAACCATTCACACTGTTCTGCACCTTGTTGGTTTTTTTTTTTTTTTTTTTTACCAGTTAGTATAGCTGGATGATCTTTTCTACTGGAATATAGAGAACATATTCTTTTGTTTTTACATCTGCATAGTTCCCTATTGTATGGATGTAACATAATTTATTTGATTTATACTGCCAGTGCCCCCTTGAAAAGGTGATGGTATGCCCTGGCCGGATTTGCTCAGCAGTTAGAGCACTGGCCCGAAGACCAAGGGGCTGTGGGTTCAAGAACTGACCTGGGTTGCAGGTTTGATCCCCAGCCCTGGTCAGAGTTGTGTGGGAGGCAACCAATTGATGTGTCTCTCTCACATTGATAATCCCCCCTTTCCCCGCACTCTATCTAAAAAATAATGGAAAAATATCTAGGGATTAACCAAAAAAAGGTGATAGTGCATCCAGTTTTCTCAGACTAATTCTGGTTTATATCTGCTTTCTGATGTAATTATTAGTAGCTTCCCTTTTCAGTATCAAATGTATTCAGGTTTATTTTATTATCATTACTTTTTAAAATAATGTATCCAGGTTTAGGTGATAAATTATATGCTCACACTATAGATGGACATTTGGGTTGCTTTATTTGCTCTTAGATTATAAAGTAGCACCTCTTGAAAGGTGGTTTATCATACAGATTTTTATTAATTCTTTTAAGTCTTGGTTGCGATTATGTGAATAAAGAGTTTTATTTACTGGGTAGCCCAGCTTATTTGGGGTTCATATTTACTGGCAGTTTTTATTTATTTTTAAATTAATTAATTTATTTTTGTTACGGATAACCAGTAAGTGTAACAAGGGTGGCAGGGGGAGGTTGTCCTGCCTAGCACCAGCGCGATAGAAATACCAGTGTTGAGCTGTTTTATCCATACTGTCTCCATCTTTTTTTTTTTTTTAATTTACTTTTTATTAATTAATTTTTCTTTGTTACAGATGTTTCGCCTTTTTTCTCTGACACTGTTCTCCCTGTCCAGCCTCCCCCCTTCAGCATTCCTGTCTGTCCATTGGTTACACATACATGTATATAAGTTCTTCGGTTTATCTCATCCCTCCCCCACCTTACTCTGAAGTTTGTCAGTCTTTTCTTTAAAACAAATTATTTTTTTTCCTTTATTGATTTTAGAGAGGAGTGAGAGGGAGAGAGAGAAAGAAACATCGATGAGAGAGCCCTGGCTGATTTGGCTCAGTGGTTAGAGCGTTGGCCTGCGGTCCAGAGAGACCCGGGTTCAGTTCCCGCTAAGGGCACGTAGTACCTTGATTGCAGTTTGTCCCCACCCCTGGTTGGGTCATGTGGGTGGCAACCACTCGATGTGTCTCTTTCACATTGATATTTCTCTCTCTCTCTCCCTCCCACTCTATCTGAACAAAAAATGGAAAAATGTCCTTGGGTGAGGATAAAAAAAAAAGAAACATCGATGAGAGAGATTATCGACTGGCTGCTTCTTGTATGCCCACCACTGGGGATCAGGCCCACAATCTGGGCATGTGTCCTGACCAGGAATCGAACTTGTGACCTCTTGGTGCTTGGATTGATGCTCAACCACTGAGCCACACCGGCCAGACTGAATTGTACTCCTTTCTATGTCTCTGGGTCTGTTTTGTTCATCAGCTTTTTCTGTTCATCATACTCCATAAATAAGTGAGATCGTATGGTATTTGTCTTTCTCTGATTGGCTTATTTCGCTTAGCATAATACTTTCCAGGTCCCTCCATGTCATCTTCAAAGGATAAGAGATCTCTCTTTCTTACAGCTGCATAGTACTTCATTGTGTATATGTACCACAGCTTTTTTTATCCACTTATCTATTGATGGACACTTGGGCTGTTTCCAGGTGTTAGCAATTGTAAATAGTGCTGCTGTGAACATAGGGGTACATATATTTTTTCTGATTGGTGTTTCAGGTTTCGTAGGATATATTCCTAGAAGTGGAATCACTGGGTCAAATGGCAGTTCAATGTTTAATTTTTTGAGGAAACACCATAGTGATTTCCGTAGTGGCTGCACCAGTCTGCATTCCCACCAGCAGTGTACTAGAGTCCCCTTTTCTCCACACCCTCACCAACACTTGCTGTTTGATGATTTGTTGATGGCGGCCATACTGACAGGTGTGAGGTGATACCTCACAGTTGTTTTAATTTGCATCTCTCTGATGATTAGTGATGTTGAGCATTTCTTCATATGTCTCTTAGCCATTTGTATGTCCTGTTTGGAGAAGTGTCTATTTAGTTCCTCTGCAGCTTGTATTGTGTAAACTGAAGATGAAATTAGAATGCATACATATATATTTGTGAAGTAAGTTAAGTGGGTAGAATTTGTAGCCTGAATCAGTGATCCATGGAACTTTTGGTATATTTTTTGTTGGTTTCCAGTTGTCCTGAGTTCCTGAGTTAAAAACTTGGTTAAAGCCCAAGGACCGAAGGGTTGCAGGTTCGATTCCCGGTCAAGGGTGTGTACATGGGTTGCAGGTTTGATCCCTGCTCTTGTTGGGGTCTTGTGGAAGGCATCCAACTAATGTGTCTCTTTTACATTGATATTTCTCTCTTGCTTTCTTCCTCTGTCTCATTCTCTCCCTCCCTCCTCCTTCTCCGTCTATCTAAAAAACACCAATGGAAAAGTATCCTCGCATAAAGATTAATTAAAAAAACAAAACAAAACTGCCCTGGCTGGTTTGGCTCAGGAGTTGGATTGTCGGCTTGTGGATTAATGAGTCGTAGGTTCGATTCCGGTCAAGGGGCACGAACCTCGTCTGCAGTTCAGTCTCGGGCCCTGGTTGGGGTCGTGCGGGAGGCAACCAGTTGATGTGACTCTCTCACGTTGATGTTTCTCTCTCTCTCTCCCTCTCTTCCTCTCTCTCTTTTCCACTGTATCTGAATAAAAATAGAAAAATATCCTTGGGTGAGAATTATAAATGAATTAAATAAATAAATAAATAAATAAATAATACACCAAGAAAACAAAACCTTGGTTAAAATAAAGAACTGACACATCTCTTTAAAACTATTTTTTGCTTAAAAGAAAATGACACGAAGATGACAAGTAGATAGATATCTGAAACCTTTAATGTCTTTTGATGCCCATAAGAAATCCATCTTCGGACAATTTTGTGTGCCACCTTTCTTTTTGGTCTTTTTTTTATATCCTCACCCAAGGGTGTTTTTGCATTTATCTTCAGATAGAGTGGGAGAGAGAGAAACACATCAGCAGGTTGCTACCCACACAACCCCAGCCGGGGCCAGAGACAAACTGCAACTGAGGTACGTGCCCTTAGTGGGAACTGAACCTGGGTCTCTCTGTTCCCCGGGCCGACACTCTAACCACTAATCCAAACCGGCCAGGGCTGTGCCACCATTCTTTAAATTATGTTTTGAACCCAGCCAGCATGGCTCAGTGGATTGAGCATTGTCCCATGGACTGAGAGGTCCCAGTTTGATTTCCGGTCAGGGGATGTGCCCAGGTTTCGGGTTTGATCGCCAGTAGGGGGCATACAGGAGGCAGCCAATGGATGTTTCTCTCATATCAGTGTTTCTATTTCTTCCTTCTTCTCTCTCTAAAATCAACAAAAATATTTTTAAGAAACTTAGAAAATTATGTTTTGGTTCAGCAATTTAATTTTTAAATAAAATTAGTGGCTATTCAAAATGAAATAATATACTACATATGTTTGTCTTATTCCTTTTCCATATTTCTAAAATGATTCGAGTTATAAAAAACTGATTATGCTGCCCTGGCCAGGTAGCTCAGTTGATTATAGTGTGGTTCCCATATGCCACATACAAGAATCAACTATTCAATGCACAAGTAAGTAGAACAACAAATTGATGTTTCCTCTCTCTCTCTCTCTCTCTCTCTCTCTCTCTCTCTCTCCTCTCTCTCTCTCAAATTAATAAATAAAAAATCAAAAAATGAAACTGGTGATGCCAATTTGACCTACTATTCATCTTGACTCCTGTAAAGTCTTTAGGGTATTCTTGATTATGTTTTATATTATGGTATAGTTCTCTTATTTATTTATTTATTTTTGGCAGTTTTCTATCATATGCAAAAATATATCTGTATCTCACATGTATTTTTGCATTTAAAAAAAATATATATATATGGTTTATTTTTATACATTTTTTTTCTTCATTGATTTTAGAGAGAAAGTTAGGGAGAGGAAGAGATAGAAACATTGATGAGAGAGAACATTGATTGGCTGCCTCCTCCTGCATGCCCCCCACTGGGGATTTGGCCCACAACCTGGGCATGTGCCCTGACCAGGAATTGAACTGGTGACCTCTGGGTAGATACATGGGTCAATGCTCAACCAGTGAGCCACACTGGCCAGGCAGAACGTTCGAAGGTAATTGTGGGGTGAGAGAGAGAGACTTTTTATCTCAGTTTTCAATCTTTACTCTTACCCAAACTAATTTAGTCAATTCTTACTGCAGGAAGTTATGTTGGGAGGCCTTGTGAGTTGGGAGGGGAGAGAAGAAAAACCCATAGGTTATTATTCATGTCATATCTTAGTTTATGATTATTGGTGAAAATACTGGGGAATATTAATTTACATAAAGTTTATTGAATTGAATATAATAATATTCAGTATAATTCAGTGTAAGGCTTTTGTAGTTCATGAGAGCTTTTGACTGTAGATAAACTGATTTTAAAATGTATTATGTACTGTGTTAAAATAGTAGTACCTCTGTACCAGAGATTTGTGGCCTGGGTAAATATTCATGTATTCTCAGTTTATATAGCCATCTTTAAAAATAAAATATTCTTCTGTTGTCCCAGCCTTCACCAATCAACCACGGTAATTCCCATTTTGTACTTGCGAAAACAGTATTTTATTGACAGTGTTTTTCTTGCTTGGTTACCAGGTAGAATACATTCTTGACTTTTACTAATTTAAGTACATAGATGGAAAAAGGGGATACTTTTTTATTTGATCCAGTTTAAAAACTGATCTACCCTTTGAAAATTTCACCCTTATATATAAATCATACCTCTTAGTTAATTACCACTTAGGCCAATGATTTTCAGTCTTTTTCATCTGTGTTATACATGGTAAGTGATAGGTGAGGGATGGCATTTACAAGCACAATAGGTTCAGGAGACTGTTACATATGCTTTGTGTATAAAGTAAATGGTTCACAAATTGAGGTTATTAACTAGTACTAATAATGAATTTTTTGTGACTCGTCTGACTAAAGACCTAGATAAACCATGATTGAGAGCTCCTGCTTTAGGTAGTTTAGATGACAGATACTCTCTTCATTTCTTATAAAAAGTGGTCTTACTTGCAGAAACTAGGGTCTATGCAATATAGAAATAAGATAATTCCAGTTATAATGACAGCTATTATTTATTACTTACTATGTAAAGACAGTGCTGAAGAGTTTACATATAGTATTTAACCCTTTAAACTAGCCCTTAAATAGGTAGTGTAGTATCTCCATTTTATGCATAGGCCATGGGAAGTTAAGTAAGTTGCCAGAGACAGTTAAGAACACATAGGGATGTGAACGTAGTTCTTTCCCCCTACAGAGCCTGGCTATTAAGTACTTAATGTGTTATACTTAAAAGCAGGCAGCCTTGCCCGACCGGTGTGGCTCAGAGGGTTGAGCATCGTCCCATGGACTGAGAGGTCCTGGTTCAATTCCTGGTTGGCACATTCCCAGGTTTCAGACTTGATCCTCAGTGGGGGGGCATGCAGGAGGTAACCCATCAGTGTTTCTGTCTCAGATCCATGTTTCTATCTCTCCCTTCCTCTCTCTCTAAAAAAGTCAATAAAAACATTAAGAATAAAAGCAGGCAGCCTGCACTTATTAAGACAGGAGTGTAGTAGAATAAATAACCTTTCTTCTGGTTAAAGTTTTACTTTCTGAGAGTATTCTAGTAGCTATATTTGCCTGTCCATCAGGAAAAACACCACTGTTATCTGTGGTGGTAAATTTATTCTAGGTATTTACAGTGCATTTGGCTAAAATGGATGAAAATATACTTTTACTACTCAGTGTTAATAACAATGACTATTACTTTATAAAAGATGTCAAGGCCACATATGGCTAGTTTTTTTTGGATATCTTCAAAAGTATTTCTTATTTGAAAATGTTTCGTTGGGCCCTGGATGGTTTGGCTCAGCGGTTGGAGCGTTGGCCTTTAGACCACTGTAGGTTTGATTCCAGTCAAGGGCATGTGGTTAGTCCCCGGCCCTGGTCAGGGTAGTGCGGAAGACAACCAGTTGATATGTCTCTCTCACATCGATGTTTCTCTCTCCCTTTCTCCGTCTCTTGCCCCCTCCCTCTCACTCTATCTAAAGATAAGTGGGAAAATATCCTCAGGTGAGGATTTAAAAAAATTTTTTTTCTTCTTTTATATATTCCAGTGTCTTATTTATTTATTTATCCTCACCCGAGGACATTTTCCATTTTTTGTTCAGATAGAGTGGGAGGGGGAGAGAGGAAGAGAGAGAGAAACATCGACATAAAAAGGACACATCGAGTGGTTGTCACCCGCATGACCTATTTAGGGCCGGGGACAAACTGCAACTGAGGTACATGCCCTTAGCGAGAACTGCAGGCTGACGCTCTAACCGCTGAGCCAAACTGGCCAGGGCTCCAGTGTCTTTTTTTTTTTTTTTTATCTTCACCCGAGGATATTTTTACATTTTTTGTTCAGGTAGAGTGGGAGGGGGAGAGAGGAAGAGAGAGAGTGAGAAACATCGACGTGAAGGGACACATCGAGTGGCTGCCACCCGCACAACCAACCAGGGCCGGGGACAAACTGCAACCGAAGTACGTGCCCTTAGCGGGAACCGAACCCGGGTCTCTCCGGACCGCAGGCCAACGCTCTAACCGTGGAGCCAAACCAGCCAGGGCCAAATTATTCTTTATTTCAGTTAGTGCCTCCTTCATTTCTGACTATGTCTCCTTCATTTCTGACTGGTCTTTTTTTATGCTCTTTAGGCCCTCACTAAGTTCGCTGAGGTTCTCACTAAGTTCATTGAGCATTCTTACAAGCAGTGTTTTGAACTCAGGATCTGTTAGGTTGCTTCTCCATTTTGCTTAGTTCTTTTCCTGGAGTTTTGTTCTTTTCTTTCATTTGGGACCTGTTTCTTTGTCTCCTCATTTTGGCTGCTTCCCTGTGTTTGTTTCTATGTATTCCTTAACGAGAGGTATGGGGCTATCTGAGACCAGATGCTGCTTGTTTGAAAGAATTTAGGTAAATCTGAAGCAGGATCCCAGACATGGTAATCCTATGGTAAAGCTTTTGGAAACAGCTTGGATGGGCCTGAAAGTTGGGTAGGGCAATGCCTCGGAATCACCAGGGCACGGCAAACAGAGTGAGCCAAGATGCTGGAGTCCCAGATATGGAGACTGTCTGCCACCCCAGGGAAGGGCTCGCCAAAGGAACACAGGCCTCTGACAGCATGTCTGTCCAGGAGAAAGCCCCCTCTCCAGCCCTCGCTCCAGTGCCAAACAGCTTTGTTCTTCCCTGTATGTCTCTGGTGCCCTTCAAGCTGCTTCCCCTCTGAGCTTAGAAGGAGCAAGTCCGAGTAAATCTGTGCGCGGGCCCTTTAAGAGGAGCTGCCTGAGGCTGCAGCCGCCTCAGCCTCTCTGAGCCTCAGTTCCTGCTGGTTTTTCCAGCCAGAAGTTATGGGGATTCTCTTCCTGGTACTGGAACCCTGAGCGCGGCATCTGGTTTGGGACGGGGACCCCTCAGTCCTCAGGGAGGACCTTTCCAGCTGAGGTATCCTCCTGATTTTTATCCGCCAGAAGTGGGTGTGGGACCAGTCAGTCGTGCCTCTGACCCTCCTACCAGTCTCGATGTGGCTACTGCTTTAATTTCGTAGTTGTAAGACTTCCATTCAGTTTGATTTCAGGCAGTTCTGAATGATGGTTGTTTGGTAGTTTAGTTGTAACTTTGATGTGGTTGTGAGAGGAGGCGATACCATGTTTACCTATGCCGCCATCTTGACCAGAAGTCGATCTAAAATTTTCTTATAATAGTATATCTTAGATAATGTTAATTAACAGTTACCTAAAATTATATTTTTCAATTTCCTTTTATATAGGTTAATGGACTTTCTGAGGAAGAAGAGGAAGATGAAAAACTGGAACATATAGAGGAACTTCCAGAAGAGGGAGCAGAAAAATCAAATGACATGCCAGAGGTGGTACAATTAAGGATGACTGAAAGCATCCTGGAAACAAATAGTGTTACAGCATCAACAAGGTAATATTTCAATTGAAAGAACTTTAGTATTTGAGCATTGTATTCTAGGTGTAGATTCACTCAAGCACTAAATCAAACAGATTGTAATAGTATGTAGAAGATTTGTTTTTGTGTAAGAAAGAGCAGCGAGCCCTGACCAGTGTCGCTCACTGGTTAGAATGTCAGCTTGTGCACCAAAGGGTTGAGAGTTCCATTCCCAGTCAAGTTCACATACCTGGTTTGCAGGTCTGATCCCTGGCCCTGATCAGGGCACATGCAGGAGGCAATCAATCAATGTGTCTGTTTCACATCAGTGTTTTTCTCTGTCTCTCTCTCTCTCTCTCACCACCCCCATACACACCTCCCTTCGACACTCTCTAAAAATCAATGGAAAAAAATATCCTCCGGTGATATAACTAAAAAAAAGAAGAAATATTTAAAGACGCAGTCTTGCTAAGAAAATTTCAGTTACAGTATATAAACCTTTCTTTAAAAATACGAGCTCTTACATATATTTCTTTTTTATTTTATTGTTGAATGTATTACAGATGTCCCCCTTTTTTACCCCATTGACCCCTGCCTCCCCAATCCTGCCCCCTTCCTGCCATCCCCAAACTATTGTCTGTGTCCATTCGTTGTGCATATATGCATATACATTCTTTGGTTTGTCTCTTCCTGACCTACCTACCCCCTTCCCTTTGAGGTTCATCAGTCTAACAACCAATTTGTACTTCTTAATTCCTTCATCTTTTTCACCCATCTCCCAAACCCCCTCCCATCTGGCACATTTAAAAGTTGTCTGTATCTGTTTCTTTTCTGTTTGCTCATTTTGTTTGTAGATTCAATTGTTGATAGATATGTATTAATTGCCATTTTATTGTTCATATTTTTGTCCTTCTTTAAGAAGACCCTTCAGCATTTCATATAATACCGATTTGGTGGTGATAAACTCCTTTAGCTTTTTCTTGTCTGGGAAGCTCTTTGTATGTCCGTTGATTCTAAATGATAGCTTTGCAGGATAGGGTAATCTTGGTTGTAGGTTGTTGCTTTTCATCACTTTGAATATCTCTTTCCATTTTTTACTGGCCTACAAAATTTCTTTTGAGAAATTGTCTGACAGTCTTATGGGAGCTCCTTTGTAGGTAACTAACTGCTTTTCTCTTGCTGCTTTTAAGATTCTCTCTTTGTCTTGAACCTTTTGCATTTTGATGATGATGTGTCTTGGTGTGGACCTCCTTGCGTTCACCTTGTTTGGTACTCTGTGCTTCCTGGACTTATATGTCTGTTTCTTTCACCAAGTTAGGGAAGTTTTCTGTCATTATTTTTTCAAATAGGTTTTTAATTTCTTGCTCTTTCTCTTATCCTTCTGGCACCCCTATGATGCTAATGTTGGTATGATTGAAGATGTCCCAGAGGCTCCTTACATTATCTTTTTTTTTTTGGATTCCTTTTTTCTTTTTGCTGTTCTGATTGGGTGTTTTTTGTTTCCTTATATTCCAAATCAATGGTTTGCTTCCTGGCTTCACCTACTCTACTATTGATTTCCTGTAAATTATTTCAGTTAGTGTATCCTTTATTTCTGACTGGTCTTTTTTTATGTTGTTAATGTTCTCACTAAGTTCCTTAAGCATCCTTATAACCAGTGTTTTGAACTCTGCATCTGATTGATTGCTTATCTCTATTTTGTTTAGTTCTTTTCCTGAAATTTTGTGTTCTTTCATTTGGGACATGTTTCTTTGTCTCCTTATTTTGGCTGCCTCTCTGTGTCTGTTTCTATGTATTAGGTAGAGTTGCTGTCTCCTAGGCTTTGTAGGGTGGCCTATTGTAGGTGTCCTGTAGGGTCCAGTGGCACAGCCTTTCCGATCCCCCCAGCTGTGCCCTTGAGGACACTCTTAGTGTGGACTGTACAGCCTTCTGTTGGAATTACTGATTGCCGTTGGCATGTCAGTCAGAGGGATTTACTTGGGCTCATCAGCTTCAAGGACTGGCTGTGCCCATTGACCACTGGCCTCTGACTTCCTTGGAGGATCTGCTGTGTAGGGACCTACCATGCAGAGCAAGACCTACTTCATCAGGGCTCTGGTACCCACTGTGTCCACTCATTGAGTGTCACCTGTGGAGGTAGTTGGTGGTAGTGCTTTGATGTGGTCTGAAGCTGTTCACTGGGTCTGCTGGCTCTGGGGCAAGGTCAGCCCACTGCCTGTGTTTTACCCCGGGGCCACCTGGCATAAGCAATAAAGTGATCTTCAGATGGCTGTTTCTTGTGCTGGGCTTGGAGGTATCCAGGCAAAGACAAGTTGTGAACCAAAGCTGGCTACTTCTAGTGCTCAGCCTGTAGCCAATTAACAAGAGGCATGGGGCTCCCTGAGACCAGATGCTGCTTGTTTGAGAGATTTTAGAAAAATCTGAAGCAGAATCCCAGACTGGCCTATCCTATGGTAAAGCCACTAGAAACAGCTTGGGTGGGCCTGAAAGTTGGGTGGGTCAGGAACTCTGGGAATCACCAGGGCAGGGCACACAGTGTGAGCCAGGTTGCTGGAGTCCCGATTGTGGTGGCGGCGTCTGCCAGCTCGGGGAAGGGCTCACCAAAGGAACAATGGTCCCTGCCAGCATGTCTGTCCAGGAGAAAGTTGCCTCTCCAGCCCTTGCCCAGATGCCAAACAACTCAATTCTTTCCCATATGTCTCCGGTACCTTTCAAGCTACCTCCCCAACGTTGGATTCCAGAAGGAGCGAGTCGAGCACGTCCGTGCACTGCCTGGGGCTCCAGCAGCTTCAGCCTCCCTCAGCCTCAATTCTAGCTGGTTTTTACACCTGAAAGTTAATGGGGACTTCTCTTCCTGGCACTGGAACCCTGAGCTGGGAACCTGGTGTGGGGACCCCTTGCTCCTTAGGGAGGACCTTCATAGCTGAGGTGTCCCTCCTGACTCTTATCCTCACCACGTGGGTGTGGGACCAGCTGTCCGCACCTCTTCCCTCCTACCAGTCTCAATGTCGCCTCTTTAATTTCTTAACTGTAGAATTTCCATTCAGCTCGATTTCAGGTGGTTCTGAATGATTGTTCTGTAGTTCAGTTGTAATTTTTTTTTAACCTCATCCGAGGACATTTTTACATTTTTTGTTCAGATAGAGTGGGAGAGGGAGAGACAGAGAGAAACATCAATGTGAAAGGGACACATCGAGTGGTTGCCAGCCGCATGACCCAACCAGGGCTGGGGACAAACTGCAACCAAGGTACGTGCCCTTAGCGGGAACCAAACCCGGGTCTCTCTGGACCACAGGCCAACTCTCTAACTACTGAGCTAAATTGTCCAGGGCTAGTTGTAATTTTGATGTGGTTGTGGAAGGAGGCGAGTACTGCTTTAACCTACACTGCTATCTTGATCCAAAGTCTTACATTTCTTAAAGTTTGTTTTTGTATTATTTGCATGTGAGTTGGATTGCGTAAAATTTCAGAACCTTTGGAAGTAAAATTGCTGGAGAAAGATGAAGTGGTTGCATTGACTTATAGTTCTAGTTACTAGGCTAGAAATAGGTTGAACTATGCTATAAGAAAAGAACTCTGTGGTCCATTAAGATAGTGATCTCCAATCCTTTTCATGTATATGTTCATATGTAATATATTTACATATTATTTATATGGTATTAGGCAAACTTGGTAAATGTGGTGATTGGCTGGAGGCATTAAGCTAACACATAGCTGGGACCATTGGACATGTTGTTTAGGAAGTTTTGGAGCATTCAAGAACTCCCCATACATGGCTTAGATCTGGTAAATTCTCTGCTAGTTCTCTGTAAAGCTCCATGGTTTACTAACTCTTTCTAATTAGGGAGATAGCTATATATTTAGGCCACTAGATATTTCTTATTAAATTTGTTTTCAATAGAATGGTAGTTAAAAAGTAGAAGAAGCCTGTCTGGTGTGGCTCAGTGGTTGAGCATGGACCCATCTACCAGGAGGTCGTTGGTTTGATTCCTGGTTAGGGCACAAGCCCCGGTTGTGGGCTCAGTCCCCAGTAGGAGGTGTGCAAGAAGCAACCAATTGATGATTCTCTCTCACATTGATGTTTCTATCTCTCCTTTTCCCTTCCTCTCTCTAAAAAAATCAATAAAAACAAAATATATTTTAAAAAGTAGAGGAAATGATAATTTTACAGTCAGAAAGCAAACTATCACTTAAAAGTAACTAGTGCAACAACAACAAAAAAGTAATTAGTGCTGCCCCGGCTGGTTTGGCTCAGTGGTTGGAGCGTCGGCCCTCGGACCCATGGGTCGCGGGTTCGAATCCGATCAAGGGCATGTACCTCGGTTGCAGTTCGTCCCCGGCCTTGGTTGGGGTTGTGCGGGAGACAACCACTCGATGTGCCCCTTTCACGTTGATGATTCTCTCTCTCTGTCTCTCTTCCTCTCTCTCCCTCCCACTCTATCTGAACAAAAAAATGGAAAAATGTCCTCGGGCGAGGATTAAAAAAAAAAAAATAGTGCTCTGGCTGGGTGGCTCAGGTGGTTGGAGTGTTGTCTTGTACACCAAAAGGTTGCAGGCTCAATCCCCAGTCAGGGCAAGTATGAGAGGCAACTGATTACCGAAACTAGTAATATCTAGGGAAGAACTATCCAATGTCATTTAGAAAAATTGTCATTTAGAATGTATATGGCTAAATCAACTATTATATTTCTCTGTGGGCCGCTAGATCTTTATATTACGTATAGTTTTTTCAAACATGATTGTAATTGTATATTTACATGTTTATTCACTCTTTTGCCCCTGATTTAATATTTTATTTGTGATTTTCTATGTTTATATGACCTTCTAATGGACTTTTTGATGGCCTGTTAACTATATTTTAATTATATACTGAGATATTTAACTATATCTTTTTTCCTTTTTATTTTTTAATTTTTTCTTTTTATTGAATTTATTAGTGTGACACTGGCTAACAAAATTATACAGGTTTCAGGTGTATAACTCTATAACACATCATCTGTACTTTGTATTGTGTGTTCATAACCCCAAGTCAGTCA